ACATCCCTATTGATTGAGGTATATGATTCAAGTACTTGTAAGTTGATTTTGGGGTCCTAGATTAGAATTTAGTGAATCGATAAGATTTCCCGTAGTTTTTTTAGAAGGATTTTCGCGTCAACAAATTGCTTGTATTCTTTAAAGTATTCTCATACACACTTGTAATTTAAACACACATGCGCACATGCATACTATGTGATTTATAGAATGAATGTTTGAATATCATAGTCATTCATAGTTATGCATCCAAGGGTTTGAGTCATTACGTTGGGATCCCCATGGGAGATTTAGTTTTCAGTGATTAATTGTTAAAAACAATACACTAATTTTCATAGATTCATGAGGTCATAGTGGTTGAAAGGAGGTTCTCACCTTTAATTAATTAATATTTGTGATAAGAGATAATTATAGTAGTAATATATTTTAATTTATGATTGATTAAGCTTAAAGTTTAAAAACCTATTTACCCCTTAGGTGGTATCTTGCCCTCCATGTGTGTATTCGTGATGAAAGATTCACTTCGTTTCTCTTCCTCTCGGAACAACAAAAAGTTTTACACATTCCAAAGGATGCTTAATTAACATGACTATTATGTGAATCACATAATTAATTATCAAATCAAGATAAAATTAAAGAAATATCACCACATTTTAATAATTTATTCCCAAAAAGTCTTAAACTCCATTAACAATATGTTTTATTCTAATTTTATCCTTTCCATAAACATGTCAATTATATTTTTACCAATAATGTTTGTTATAGTGCCCCGAAGCAAATAATTTTTTTCATTGAATTAGTGTGAATCATCGAAGCACGTAATTAACAATAAAGACTTAAAGAAATAATAAATCATACAACTCTCTCTTTTATTATATTTAACTTTTTTAAGCATATGAATTTTGATTCATCTGAACTATCAAATCTCAATCATAAAGACATACAATTATATAAATTAACAATGTGAAAACTAATCTATGAATATAATCAGTGAGAAATGTTTGTTTAATTGCACTTTTTTTACTTATCCGTTCACATTTTGAATTAATAAAAAAATTATTATTGTTTTTAAGACATACCAAAAAAAAAAGAAGAATTGAAGCATTTGAAACTACAACATTTTATTTTAGAGATAAAAATAAAAAATATTTATGTATATTATGACTTTTATACTATGTAGGATTCACTCGCATATAAACTCTTACGTGTCAATATGATGGATATTTGATAATTGACTTACTTGAATTTTAATTTAAGACATAAAAGTTATATTTAATAAATAAAATTAAATGTAAAATAACAAATAATAATATAATTTGTGTGTACATGGAAAGAATAAAATTGAAACAATATAAAGGTTAATTGAGGTTAAGTCTTCTTAGGAACAAATAACATCACTAGAACTTAATTGTCGTAAATTAAATATGATAGAACTTAAAACTTATTTTATAGAAAAATTAAAACTTATTAGGGTTTTTCCTAAAATTAACATTAACCTAAATGCAATGCTATAAGAAGACAGATTGAAAAGGAATACATATAGCCATAGATAATTATCAAAACTACAATAGTCCAAAATGATTTAGAAGTTCAAGAGCCTATTATAATGTCTTGAATTTGTATTTTAATAAGATTTTGAAGGAATATGGAAGTTACCAAATTGTATCTTTATTTCCATGTAATTTCACCAATTTATTTATATAGATATCAATGAATTGAGAAAATTTTTGATTTTTTTATTTTTCTATGATCAATTTTATAAAATATATTATATCCTTACATGTTTTTATTATTATTTTTTAAAAAAATTATCATTCTTTTGATTTAAGAATATTTTTTTTTAATTTTTAGTGAATTTGAATATAAACTTTAAAAATTGGGAGAATTACATCCAAACCTCTTGAGGTTTGTCACTTAATCACTCAGACCCCATAATATTTAAAATATTTTAAACAAACTTTTTAAGGTTTGTACGCGTGTAACACTTAGATCCCCGCCGTTAATATCTATTAGTATTTCTGTTACTAAATTACACTCAGATCCCTAAAGTTTGTAAGCATATAATGCTTAAACCCTTTAAGTTTAAAATGTTATACTTAAACTAAAAATACTAAATTTTAAATATTTTAAATTTTACAACTAAAATTTATGTTATATTGTATCATTTATTGAAGTAAAATTAAAAATAAAAATTAATGTTTTTAAAAAAAGTCGTAATTAGTATACAATTATACTATCTATTAGAATAAAACTAAAAAATCAAACAAGGAGTCTAAACCATTCATAATAGAACATAAAATTGTACATCCAAAATTTATGTTCTATTATATCATTTATTGAAATAAAATCAAAAATCAAAAACTAATTTTTAAAAAAAATTATAATTAGTATACAATTATACTATCTGTTGAAATAAAACTAAAAAATTAAATAAGTGGTCAAACTATAATTGATACAATATCTTTTAACTTTAATTGAGATAATTTGATAGTTTAATTTGATCGTTTAAATGACTAAATTAAATTCTAATAGATAGTATAATTGCATACTAATTATGACTTTTTAAAAAAATTAGATTTTTTTTAATTTTATTTTAATAAATATCATAATAGAACATAAATTTTGGTTATAAAATTTAAAATATTTGATATTCTATTTTTGATTCAAGTATTTTTTATGTAAGTGTAATATTTTAAATTTTAGAGGAATACGAATTACACGCCTATAAATGTTAGGGGGTCTAAGTATAATTTATTAATGAATATACTAAGATTAATTATAAGTTGCACCCCGAAAAATAGTTTGAATCTCAATTTATACCCTCAAAGATAAAAAATCTTAATTTGTACCCTTAAAAATAGAAATTTGTATCAATGTGCACCCCTAAAGATAAAAAATCTCAATTTGCACCCTCAAAAATAGAAATTTATATCAATGTGCACCCCCAAAGATAAAAAATATTAATTTGCACCCTTAAAGATAGAAATTTGTATCAATGTGAATATAAAACTAAATTGATAAATTATACCTAGATCCCCTTATACTTGTTACTTTATCATTTGGACTCCTTCACGTTCAAAATATTACTCCCACATCTCATAGCATTTGTGCACGTGTAACACGTAACTCTTTTTCGTTGATATATGCTAATATAACCGTTAAAAAATATAATTTTATCCTAATAAAAAATTATAATTTTATATTACCCTTTATTTTGTGGGTCTGATATACTCTAAAGTTCAAAATCAAACTTACTATTTGAATGTTCAATAGAATGTATATATTTATATAATATTTTTTATATCCAATGCAATATATCACTTAATGTACACCTCTTTATTTTATTAGATATTCAAATGGTAAGCTTGATTTTGAATTTTAAAATATATTGGACCCATAAAATAAAGGGTAATATGAAATTATAATTTTTTATTAGGATAAAATCATATTTTTTAACGGTTATATTAACAGATATCAAAGAAAAGGGGTTACGTGTTACACGTGCACAAACGTTATGAGATGTAAGAGTAATATTTTAGATGTGAAGAAGTCCAAATGAGTAAGTGACAAACATAAGAGATCTAGTTATAATTTATCAATTTAATTTATGTGCACGTTGATACAAATTTCTATCTTTGATGGTGCAAATTGAGATTTTTTATCTTTAGGAGTGCACATTGATATAAATTTCTATCTTTGAGGGTGCAAATTGAGATTTTTGATCTTTGAGGGTGCACATTAATACAAATTTTTATATTTAAGAGTGCGAATTGAGATTTTTGATATTTGAGAGTACAAATTGAGATTTGAGTAATCTTTTAAGGTGTAATTTATAATTAACTCAATATACTAACGGACATTAATTACAAAAGTGATATCCCACATAGGTCTAAGTGTTATGCGTGTACAAACATTGATCTCTTCGTAATATGTTAAATATCAAAAAATTTGAGTGATTATCGGATAAATATTAAGTAATTTGGGTGTAATTCTCCGTTAAAAATTAAATCCTTTCAAAAATCGAATTCAAGTTTCCAAATGACAATAGAGTTCAGATCGGATGAAAGTACTACTCAAATCGGATTTGTACAGAAACAAACCATGGTCACCACTAGCGAAGGCGCCTCTGATTCAATTCAACCCCCACAAAGGTCTCTCTCAATGGACAGTAACTCAGACCAAAAAAAAAAAAAAATGGACAGTAACTAATAGGCAGAGTCCAACCTCCTCGGTAGCCCCTCAGTTTTGCATACGGCAACTCTCTCTCTCTCTCTATCTCTCTCAGCAGAGTCTGAAAAGTTTGGGTAATCTACTTGTTCTTCTCGTCATCGTCTTTTTTCTTCATCAATCCACTTTCTCTCTAGGGTTCTAGATATCTAAAACAAAAAAAAACACAAGAAATACATGTAAAAACATTGAATATTCATCTATGGTAATTGTAGAAAATGCCCTTTAAGCGTTATCATTTTCTAGCAAGGCAAGCACCCAAGAACAGTGAGTTTTTTTTATTTCTCGTTTATATTTTTCCTGTTTGATTGTTATTTCTTAAATACCATGTTGAGTACTCTATATGAACGAGCTCAAATTCTATAAATTTCCATCTTTGCACTTAGTCTGTTGTTCAGTTCCATTCGGTTTTTCTATGTTGAGTGCTTAATTAGCTTAGTTTTTGGCTCTTCAAAGCCCTTTTAAATTCTCTGTTTGTCAATCTATCAGTTATATGTTTCAGAATAGAGTTCTAGGGTTCTGATTAATATTTACAATTTCACTATGTGCACTTTGTCTGCTGTTCCGTTCCATTCCGTTTTTCTATTTTGAGTGCTTAATTTAGCTTAGTTTTTGGCTCTTCAAAGCCCATTTGAATTCTCTGTTTGTCAATCTATCAGTTATGAGTTTCAGAATAGATTTCTAGGTTTCTGATTATTATTTACTAGCTTTATTTTTATAAAATATCAAAAATTATGGCATCATATCATGGTAGTCCTCACTCAGAGCGTGCAAAAATGGAACAAATAATAACTGAATTCTTTACAAAGAGTCTCCACATAATACTTGAATCACGGTGTCCATACGTATCGTCGCGTAATTATAGTGGTGAACAAGTGCTATCATCCCCATCTTCATCCTCATCGTCCTCATCCAGCGTCAGGCCCAGGGATAAGTGGTTCAATTTAGCCCTAAAGTATTGCCCAGCTGCACTAGAAAACATTGATTTTTGGCGTCAGAGTAACCTTGAACCAATGTTGGTTGATGTGATCTTAATGCAAACAACTAGTGATTGGGACCCTGTGAACTGTTCCCCCCAAAAGAGACCTATTAGGAATTTGTCATCGAAAGACAGGTTTCCTTACTGTTGGAATTCAGAGCAAGAGGAATTTCGGGGTGAAGTGAAGAGCGAAACGATTATTGAGAGATGGGTTGTGCAATATGAAAGTAGGAAGAGTGGGAGGGATTGTGGATCGGGGAGTAAACGATCAAGCTGTACTAGTTCCAACATATTGTATAAGAAGTTGATATTGCTTTTCAGGTCTTTGTATGTAATGGTTAGGCTTCTGCCTGCTTATAAACTCTTTCGTGAGCTCAATTCATCCGCCCAAATTCGGACATTTAACCTTGTTTATCGGGTTTCTTCATTTGTTGAGCCATTCACTCGTAGAGAAGAGGCAGAAATGCAAAAATTTGTGTTCACACCTGTGGATACTTCTTGTGGTAGGCTTTGTCTTTCGGTGTTGTATCGTTCGTCACTCTCAGATGTGAGCTCAGGACCTTCAACCCCTATCTCACCTCAATTCATACCTGATTATGTTGGGAGTCCAATGGCAGATCCGTTAAAGAGGATCCCGTCCCTTCCAATAGTTCAATGCTCACCTTCATCCTCTCCATTTGGAAGGCGGCATAGTTGGAGTTATGACCTATATAGAGCCTCACCACCTTCAGCCTTCCTGTCACCGTCACCTACACATTCAGAATCGTGTGCTTCAATTTCAAAACCAAGTTCCCACGTCTCCCACCTACAAGTTTACCTCGTCATCTGCCTGAAACACCTCAAGTTCATATGAAGAATACAAGTTTTGATGAATATTGGGCTTCACATATCTTTTCTCCTTCTCCATCCCCATCACCACCTGCCTACAGTTCTAGGGGTAATGTGTCAAAGGCTCTTTTATGGTCTGAAAGTGCTCCAGTTAGCATACCTGGGTCTAAGCTTGCCAATATCCCTTCATTGTCCAGCAAGCAAAATCTGCCCCCTTCTCCTCCACTGAAAGCTACACAACTCAGCATTTCGAAGATGGATGGAAGTTCAGGTCTAGTTCTGACTGGCTCAACAGCTGAGAAGGTATTTTAGACTCTTATCTCTTTTCATTTAGATTTTTAATACTTAGATCACTTAGGACTGCTATTTTTTGTGTAGTTGTTCTCCCTTGGGAAAGATGACACTGGAAAACTTTCTGGGGTGAAAATGTCATCCAACAGCTCACCGCAGAAATCGGTTTCTAGAGGCTCCAGTCGGTTGTCTTTCCAGGATGATTATGATGATTCTGAATTTTCTGGCCCATTTATTGTGGATGATGATGACATGACAGATCCAGGTAGCAGGTAATTTTCAGAGATGTATACACTGCATTATCTAACTTACATAGGCCATATCGTTCTCCTTATGTTACATGGTTTATCTATGTGCATAGATAAGCCTGTACTTGTATGCAATTTTTCTTGCTGTAAGGTTGTAATTCATGAAATGTGTGCAATATGAATATGTAACGTGTCAGTGGCTTTGAAGAGCAAGGAATAATCACTCAAAATAATCTTGCTGAATTTTATAGCTAGAAATTTGACGTTAAGAGTTGATTTCAAAGAATTGGAGGACTTTTATAAAGCAACGGTTGTCAGCTATTTTGTCACATTTTGAAATGAATGGGGCTAGCAATTCAAGGTTGATGCATGGTCAACCTGCTTGCAGGAAGCAGTGGACACAACCTCGTACTTTCTCTCTGCCTAATGATGTGAGATATATTGTTAGTAAGGTGCATTACTCATGAATTACAAAAATTTGAAATCTTGAAATAGAATTTCCTGTTTCCCGATTGTATACAGTGCTGTTTGATCACATATGCTTTTGGTTCCGGATAGGTTACCATATTGACGATTTCTAGTATGTTAGCAGCCATGTTTTATGAAGATACCATAGCTAGATAGAGGTAACTTATATTGTTGAACCACCATCTGCTCTAAAAGTTTAAGTTATTAAATAAGGTGTAACATAAGTTTTTATACTTCAACACGCCCCCAGGCTAGATTTTAGATCCAGCACCTGAAAATATTTTAATTATCAGGGTGGCAACGGGATTCGAACACAAGATTTCTTGTTGTGATAATATGTTAAACCACCAACTCCTCTAAAAGCTTAAGCTATTAGAAAGGGAGTAACTTAAGTTCTTAAACTTCAACATATATAATTGATTTGTTGCACGATTTGGGGTTTTTTATGATAGGAAGCATAAATTGCAAACACCATCCAGTTTATTCTCCATGTGTTCTTTGTTGCTGTCTTGAGCCAATTTAGTGTTTGAAAAACAATGAAGGGGTGAGTTCTTAACTTAGACCCGCTTGATCTTTAGACTTAACTGTAAGTAGCCCAAGATTGCAAGAGGTTACTTTGTGGTTTTCAATCAAAAGATTGTAGAGTTCATTGCAACCACAATTCACAAAGGTGATGTTGTTCCAGCTAAACTCTATTGGGGTGGTGAACATGGATTCTGATGTTTTGTTCTCGTATTTAAATAGTTGCAAGTATTTGGACCTAAAGGGGCCCTTAGGTGTTCTTTAGGAAAATATCACCAAGCGCTCTTGGCTTTGAGTAGCCATGGGCATGAGTACATTATTTGGATGCTTTGAGTACGTCGTCTCATGTTCTTGGCTGACTCAATGGCTAGGCCATTGAAGTTGCCACATAGGGCCCATGGTTCAAAGTATCCGCCGATACCGATACGAGTTGGCCGAGTCGTATCCGTCTCGGCACCTTTGGAGACAATACCGTTATACGATATGTATAAACCCCGAGTCTCACACAACTCAGTCAAGTCATCCGAGTTGTATTCGAGTTAATCCTAAGTCACCAAAATATCATCATTGAATTGGCCTATACGGTTCCATGATACTGTGATATTACCGGAATTTCTTGTCATGTTCAACATTTTCTTGTAAGTTGTATCATCCGATACCGTGCTGTGATGCCGCAACCGATGTGTCTTAGAGCTTTCCAATTTGATGGCCGATATCGTGACCTTGAACTAAATTTTTAGAATCCCAAATTTTTTAGGTCTCAAAATAAGGTTTTTAGATGAAGGCGACTAAGTTAAATTTTTTTTTTTACAGCACTGTTTAATTAAGTCTGATTCTAATTTTAACGCCCTAGTTAAAATTGTTAGACTCAGGTCCAATTAAGCCTCATTTAGTTCTTTGGCCTCAAATAAAATTTTTAAATCCTTGTTCAATTGAGTCCACTTTTATTTTCATGATCCTATGAAAAAATTATAAACCAAGGTTCAATTAAGCTCAGTTTTGTTTTTGTTAAGTTAAGAGAATTAACACAATATTAGAGAAAGACGGATAGGGGTCAAAAGACTTAACCTACCTCTCATAAATAACTTGTATTTATAGTTAACTTACAATAATAAGAAAGACAAATACATCCGCTTTAATTTACACATTATATCCTAATACTCTTAACAATTTACACATAATACCCTAATATTCTTAACACTCTCCCTCAAGCTGGAATATATATATCATATAATCCAAGATCGCAACAGATTGCTGTAAGACGTGTATAACTCAATGTTTTGGTAAACATATCTGCAAGTTGATATTCAGATTTCACAATTGGAGTCGTAATCTCCCCAGTTACTATCTTGTGTCGAATAAAGTGACAGTCAACCTCAATATGTTTGGTTCTCTCATGAAACACTGGATTGATAGCAATATGGATAGCTGCGTGATTGTTACAGAACAACTGTAAAAGAGGTTGAACTGGAAATCCAATTTTTTGGAGGAAGTGTAGTAGCCAAGTCAACTCACTCGTCGTATGCGCCATTGCTCTATACTCAGCCTCAACACTGGATCTTGCTACCATAAGTTGTTTCTTACTTTTCCATGAGACAACGTTACCTCCTAAGAAAGTACAATAACTAGTGGTTGATCTCCGATCAGAAGGAGATTCAGCCTAATCAGTATGTGAGAAACCTTCCACTCTAAGATGTCTCTTCATAATCAACATCATAAGTCTGAATAAAACCCTTTGCAACAAGCCGAGCTTTGAGACACTCCACATAATCATTCGGATGAAATTTAACAGTATACACCCAACGACAACCAACAGTTTGTTTATTAGGAGGTAAAAGAACGAAATTCCAAGTGCCATTATGATGTAAGATATTCATCTCCTCCTCCAACCTAGATCAGATAACGTATCCTGTTAGTACTTAGGAATAGATATAGTAGATAATTGAGAGGTAAAATAAGAGAAGACCGGAGACAGAGCATCATATGAAACAAAATGAGCAATGAGATGATTAGTAACACATGAACGAGTATCTTTTCGAAGAGCAATAGGAAAAAAGTTTGAATTACCTGATGTACCAGGATCAGAATGTGGCAAGGAAGACAGTACGGGCACCTCAGTCGATGGGCAAGGACGACGAGTATACACGAAGAGGTAAAGTAGATGGTAATACAGTAGGTAGCAGAATATCTGACAATGAGGGAAGAGATAGTGGTACAAGAGATGACTTAAAGTCCAGATCCAAAGGCTGAGCAGATGTCGAAAAATATGGAACAGATTCCTCAAACGTGACATCAACATTAGTAAAGTATCGACGAAGGGAAGAACTATAGCAACGATACTCCTTCTGTGTGTGGGAGTATCCAATAAATACACATTTAATAGCCCGAGGGTCAAGTTTATCGAACTCAAGGCCCAAGTTGTGAATATAACTAACACACCCAAAAACCTTAGGATGTAAGAAAAATAAGGGCTTACCAGGAAAATGGATAGAATAGGGACTTTGCCCATTTAACACAGAAGAAGGCATACGATTAATAAGGTGACAAGCAATAAGAACAATATTACTCCAAAAATAACAGGGAACAGTCATCTAGAATAACAGTGCATGGGTGACTTCCAACAAATGACGATTCTTACGCTCAATGACACCATATTGTGGAGAGGTGTAAGCACATGAAGTCTGATGAATAATGTCTTTTTTACTCAGATAAGTTGAAAAGGGATCAGATTCATATTTTTGAGTATTATCAGAACGTAAAATACGAATACGACAACCATACTGAATTTTTATTTTCTTACGAAAGATCTCAATTATAGAGAACAATTTAGAATGGACTTTTATAAGAAACCATTAGGTTACATGAGAATAATCATTCACAAATGATACAACATAAGAATATTTATTAGATAAAATATTTTTTATTAGACTCCTTACATCAGGATGAACTAACTCAAATAGACTGGACACACGATTATTGACTCTACACTGAAATGATACACAGTGATGCTTACTAAGCTGACAAGCTTCACATGACATGACATAGACGGCACAAAACTAAAATTTGGGACTTGGCGCTTCAGATTCTGGAGAGAGGGATGTCCAAGGCGATAATGCCATTGAAAGGGGACGATGAGGTCTGTAGAGCCCGAGTTGGTGAATCAAAGTCAAAGTAATATAGCCCACCAGCTTCATACCCTGTACCAATCTTCCTCTTCGACTTGAGATCCTAAAACACACAATGAGAGGAATAAAAGGTTCTGGAACAATTCAAGGAACAAGTAATCTTGCTAATGGAAAGTAAACTAAAAGAAAATTGAGGAACAAATAACACAGAAGATAGAGACATATTATGACTCAAATGAGTAGTCCCCAGACCTGAAACTTTAGAGCAAATATCATTAGCAAGAGTAACACTATGTGTATAAGTAGTAGAGTGATACGTAAAAAAGACACCAGACGCACCAGTCATGTAGTCAGATGCGCTAGATTCTATGATCCAGGGACTGCGGGTGGAAGACAATAAACAAATGGAGGCGGTACTTGATTGGGCAAAAGTAGTTGTGGAGAAAGATGGACCAGCCTGTTGTTGGGATAGGAACTAAGCATACTCCTCTTGTGTAATAGTAACTGATCCAGAGTCAGGTAGAGCGGATCGAGTTACAAAAGCAACAACTGAGGTGTCATCCTGATAGGAAACTTGATTACCAGCACCGGAAGGCTTTTCATGTAAATTCCAACAAATTTCAACAATGTGCCCTTTATAACCACGGGGAGCACAGGAATGAGAGCCACAACGGCCATTACGGCCTCCATTACGACCTCCTTGACCTCCATGATCACCACGATTACCGTGGTTACCTCGATTACTATCACTGTGGCTACTAGGAACCACAAGAGTTAAGCGATCAGTGGAGACACCATGATCGATGCCTAAATAAGTAGATAGATTAGCACGCCGTAAACGAGAGAAAACCTTAAGTAGAGATGGAAGACTAGAACTCCCAAAATCTAAGAATGAATAGCCTCATATTCAGGT